TGGCTCCCAGCTTTGCAGATGCTTGCTGTCTAGTAAAACTGCAAATTTTCATACCTTTGAGCTTTTTGTACTGCATTTCTCACTGTAGATCTGACTGGAAGTACCCATGACACAGCCTGAACATTGACCTGCCTTGAAAGTCCCTCTGCCAGATTTAGTCTACCTTTAAATTCAGCCCCACATGGTCTTAGGACATGGACAAAACACAGAAAAAAATCATTATCAGAGTATTACCATATGCATGGCCTCTAGTCCAGTTTCTAATATAATCCTCACTCCTACTTGAAACTTTGAGCCTGGCCTTTACTGTCCACAGTCTTATCAATATTCTGGTCTGAGCTCCAGCCAGAATCCGCCATCAAACTAGGCTCACAGCATTCATGGGTTCTTTAGCATCCCTGAACCTTTCCAAACTCTTTTTTTTTTTTTTTAATTTTATTTGTGTGTGTGTGTGTGTGTGTGTGTGTGTGGCCAGCTCAGCCCACCAGCGGACTGGGCGGGCTGGCATGTGGTGCTGGGGTATTGAACCGCGGTCCCTGTGCTTTGCTAAGCTTGCTCTAAGTAGGTACTTTAGGCCTCTGAGCCATCTCACCAGCCCATCCAAATTCTTTCTACAGACAGTTCCAAAGGCTTCCACATGGTCAAGTATAATGACAGCAGCAACCCCAGTTTTGTGTAACTAAACCCCAGTTTACTTTTCCATGGCTAGGACAAAATACCTGTCTTTAGTTCCATCCATATTTTAATTCTGCCTTAGTTTTCTCGTTGCTGGGACAAAGTATCTAACACCCAGGTTAAAGAAGGAAAGATTTCTTTTGGCCCACAGCAGAGGTTTCAGTCCATAATTGGCTGGCTCCAAGGCAGGGTGGTATGGCAGAAGAGCATCACAGAGGAGAAATATTTCATGGCATACAGAAGATGGCCAAAGCAGTAAACAAGAGACAAAAATGACCACGCTCTTGTTGTCCTGTACATTTCACCTAGGCCTAAAGGTGGGCAGCACTCACACCCTTAATCCTAGCATCATGTCGTTGATCCCAGCAGCACAAACCCTAGACCCAGCCACCTCTGAGACTCCACCTGTGATCATACGAGGCTTCGGGGAGATGTCGAGAAACCAGCCATCACAGTACCCAGCACCTGCAGCATAAGAGGAAGGGGGAATTTGGTTCATAGTTCAGGGAAGGGTTTGCTGTTGTGAGAAGAGCAGAAAAGATAATGTCTTCTCAGCATTACCTGATTTTTTTAATCATAAGAAGTGTCAGCCACACATAAAGGTAAAAGACGTGTTTTTCTACACACGTCTCTAGATGCAGATAGGATGAGATCCCCACACCCACTGTCTTTCCTTTGTTACCTTGCCATCTTCCTCCCTCCTCTGTGGGGGCGTATGAAGGTGCACCTCAGGCACTGTCACCTCACCCTTGTACGCTGAGTGTACTTTGAAGACTGCACATTGGCTTGCATGGTGTGATGGCCTTGTCCCGCGGTGGCTGTGCCCACGTGCCATCTGATCCCCTAGCTCTTGGCACACTTCCTTAGCTAACCTCCATTAAGCTACTGGCATATTTGCATCAGGTTGTGCAGAAGGGCAGCCTGTAACATTTGGTGCACCTCAGTCTCTCCCAGCTAGAGTTTCCCACCCTCCTCTTGCTTTGCTTTTCCTTGCAAGCCACGGGGCAGCTGCCCTGCAGAGGGTTCACCTCTGGGTTGTCCCACTGCTCCCCAGTTCCCTCGGACCCTACGCAGCCGCTGTGCTCTGCTGGCTCCTTTTGCAGTCCTGCCGAGACTGCTCTGTGGCTCCAGGTGATGGCAGCCAGCCTGCTGTTCGTCAGGTCTGGATCAGCGTTCCTAGGTGGTCCTGCTTATCATCTGGGCTGTTTCCACGGTCCTCAGAGTGCATGGAGGAGACTGGCGAAGCACTTTGCTCTCCTTTCATGATGATCCTCAGCATCCACGGCCAGTGCCCTCATCACTTCCCACTTCACTGAGGGCTTGCACACTCTTGCTCCCCAGGCTTCAGTTGCTGGAGTGCCTGGGTTTGTGTATGGATTTAAGAGTTTCTGTTGGCTGCCTTCCCGAACCTCTTGCTGCTCGCTTGCCCTGGGTTGGGGCAGTGTGAGTCCCTTGCGAGACAGCTCTGTTTCCATAGCATGGCTCTTGCTTTTTGGCTTTACCAGGTTGTCCAGCCCCATTTTCTAACTGACGCTGTGGTGTTGAAGCCAGCTGCTTCTCCAGGAATCGCCTTGCCTCCTGGTGGGGAGGGTATGAAGAGACGCAGCTCTGGTTCTTGAGGCTTTGAGGCTGTTTTGGGGACAGGTAATGAACAGTGAATTGAAGCTTTTAAAATTAAATTTTATGTTATAGGGTTTTTCCTCTTCAATCTTATGCTTCTTCCCTATTTTTCTTACGTTGACTATTGGCTTCTAACAGCCTTGTCATAGATTGCTTATTTGTGCTGTCCTGCTGGGTAGAAACTGCAGCTCAAGTGTTGAATGAGGTCTGGTCTCCCTGCAGCTTCGTCTGTAGACCATCTTCTTTGTTGGAAGGCTGCTTATGGCCATTAGCAGCTATGTCACCCACCAACATGGAAGTTAAGGGTCATTCTCTTTGTTGTAAACTTTGGGGATTTTTTCCTTTTCGATTCAGTATTTGGGTTTGAATATATGAGCATGTATGTTTCCAAGTCAGGACTGTGAGACACAGCATAACTCGGAGAACTCCTCACTTCATTCCACTCTCTACTCCCCCAAAGACTGTCATAAAACTTCCCTCAAAGGAAGTTTTAGGTTCTCTTTTCACCATGTTGATTTTTATACATAAAAATGAAAGTGTGATGCATTCCCTTTCCCTTTCTTCACCCGCAGATTGTGCCACAGGCCATGTGTCGCTCTGTGCTGTACATTTCTGCTTAAATCAGTGCTTCCCCTCCTCCCACCTGTTTAATGGTTAGCAGGAGAGGGAGTGCTAGGCTTGATTCACTCACCCCTGCGTCTGGCCGTGTGGTAGGCTGCCAGCAGGTGTGCTAGATGGATACTGCCTCTCAGAATGACTTGGGATCCTGGTCATTTCCTGTTCCTGTCAGTGGATCTTTGGGATACAGTTCTAGATGTGTGATTACTAGGGGAAAGGATACATGCGTATGTCATTCTTCTAGACATGTGGTTGTTGTTTTACTGAAATTCTGAGTAGGTGAATTTCACATTCCTAACACCTCCACCCAGAAGCAGTCCAGTTTATGTTGCCATTTTGAAAAAGAAGAAAACATTTCAGTCACCCACACACCCTGTCTTTGTGTGGAATATATTATTGGAATTGTTACTTGAGGATCTCGTGATTTGATTTAATCAAAGGACCACTGCATCAGATACAAAGATGAAAAGCTTGTTGGCATGGTTGTAACCCTCCAAAGAGTTCTGGTTGAGGATTTGGGGCTTATCTTCTTCTGTTATCACTGCCTCATTCTGTTGTAATTGTTGTCCTCGGTGGGTTATCCAGGCTGGGAAGGGCGTCCTCACTGCTGCCCCGAGTGGGGCTGACTGTGGTGGGTGGATAGAGGAGTCTTAAGGGGCTCTGCCATGCTCAGCAGATGTTAATTGAACCCCTCTCTCTGCTGGGCTGTAACAGTTCCTCCCTTGCAGCGCTTACATCCTGGTGCAGGAGATAGATCAAAAAGCAAGAAGAGAAGATAATTGCTAGTGTATGGAGTCCAGCGAGGACCTGCTACGGCAGCACAGGACCAGCTGACACAGCCTGCCTAAAGAGGGGAGAGGGTGCCTCTGAATTTGGAACAGTGAGTGCAGCAGCCCTGAGCCAGGACTCAGCCTGGCCTGCTTGAGACCTAGCGAGACAGAAGAGACAGCATGCCGAAGAGACTGAGGATGCGGTTGGGTAGGGCCGTGGTCCTCAGGATCCAGAAACTGTGGAGGGTGGTTAAGCAGGGAGTATTTGGTACCAGTGTGCCACCTGTGTATTTTTTTCTATAAAAAAAGAAGGCAAGCTTGGGAGATAGGTCAGTATCTTAAACACCTGCCTGGCAAGTGCAAGGTCCTGAGTTCAATCCCTGGTACAAAAAAAAACTTCGTAAAAGTGAAGGCAAGTTTCATGTGGGGTTTTGCTCCAAATCAGCAGCATTGTTACCATCTGATGTTCAGAGTGGCTCTTTTCTTTGTTATTCTCTTGTGCAACACAGCTGCATTTCACACTTGGGTATTGAGGACATCTTTTCTTTCAGTAGCATTTCCCCTGGCAGTAGCTGAATAACTGCACTGGGCAATTTTGATTGGATTGTGTGCTTGGCTTTGAACAGCAGCATGATCTCTTCACATTCTCTTCTTCAGACCTGCAGATCCAAGAGACGTCCCTCTGGAAGAGAGAGAAGGGGGCAGTTTCCTCAGGACCAAGAGGTTTGTGGTATATGGATGTCATAAAATTAATGAGGGCAGCAGCTTTCCAGACAGAGAAGGCATTGTCCACTGACTTTGGTTTCTGTTGCAGAAGACTGGCAAACCGCCCTTGTCGGGCTTTCCCGGGAGCAGGACGCACCGGCCAGGAGTCAGAAGCTGCTTGTAGGAAGGCTTTCTGTCTGATGAGGAGAAGGCAGAATGACACATTGACTCTTCGCGGGGGTGCTGCAGGGGCTCACAACCAGCTGGTGCCATCTCATCCTGGAAATCCAGGGACACACTGTGTAGTCGTTTTTCTGGACGTGAGAAGTACAAGACTGCTCTCCAAGAAGACAATTCCAGGGGCCTAAACACGCAGAGGTTTGCACTTTGGCAGCTCCTTGGAATGTTTGAAAACTCAGGATCTAAAAGAAGTTCTATGTTAATGAGTTACGGAGTTGATGTGGAAGTAAATGTCACTTTATAATCAGTAGGAACACTGAGTGAGGAACACTATGCAGGAAGAAACCTTCCATAGAAAGACAGGCAGGGAAAAGCTTAGGTTGACCTTAAACTTGCCCCATAGAGCAAGCCTGAGATAGACTGCCAGCATGGCCAAATAAGAGACTTGATAAAATAGCAAGCCTGTAACTGGAGTAGCTGTAAGGAAATTTTCTCTTCTAAAACACGATACCAAATAGGAAAAATGATCTACAAGTGCCCCATGTGTAGGGAATTTTTCTCTGAGAGAGCAGACCTTTTTATGCATCAGAAAATCCACACAGCTGAGAAGCCCCATAAATGTGACAAGTGTGATAAGGGTTTCTTTCATATATCAGAACTTCATATTCATTGGCGAGACCACACAGGAGAGAAGGTCTATAAATGTGATGATTGTGGCAAGGATTTTAGCACTACAACAAAACTCAATAGACATAAGAAAATCCACACAGTGGAGAAGCCCTATAAGTGTTATGAGTGTGGCAAAGCCTTCAATTGGAGCTCCCACCTGCAAATTCATATGCGAGTCCACACAGGTGAAAAGCCCTATGTCTGTAGTGAATGTGGCAGGGGCTTCAGTAATAGTTCAAATCTTTGCATGCACCAGAGGGTCCACACAGGTGAGAAACCCTTCAAATGTGAAGAGTGTGGAAAGGCCTTCAGGCACACCTCCAGCCTCTGCATGCATCAGAGGGTCCACACCGGAGAGAAGCCCTATAAATGCTACGAGTGTGGGAAAGCCTTCAGCCAGAGCTCCAGCCTCTGCATTCACCAGAGAGTGCATACAGGAGAGAAACCTTATAGGTGTTGTGGGTGTGGGAAAGCCTTCAGCCAGAGCTCCAGCCTCTGCATCCACCAGAGAGTACACACAGGAGAGAAGCCCTTTAAGTGCGATGAGTGTGGAAAGGCCTTCAGCCAGAGCACTAGCCTCTGCATCCATCAGAGAGTACACACCAAGGAAAGAAACCATCTCAAGATATCAGTTATATAAAACGTTTTGCTAGGAGTTAAAAATCTTAAAACCCTTAAGTGCCACTAGGAAGGAAACCCTGTAATATACCTACATTGACCCAAGAAAAGATTGACAGCAGTACCCAGCAAATTGACTTTTTTGAAGAGGCTTAGGTGAGGTTCATTTTTTGGTTCGTTGATTTATGCCAAGTGTGTTCCACATCTTGAGTTTGAATGTGGGAGCCATCTGAGCACGTGCCTGAGTCAGGCTCTTGTGTCCCAGTCACAGACATGTGCTTCCCAGGATCCAGCACGATGCCTCAGTGGTTGAAATGCTGCCCAAAGCCTGGGAGCAGGGCCTGGCCTCCTGAGCCACCTTCAGCCTGCTGTCCTGAGAAGTGGCCCAGTGCTCCCATGGGAGCTCCCACCCTTCCTTCCTCTTGATCTCCTCCTGGTCAGTGCATTTGAAGAGGGACAGCTCCCACTCTGAGCATGTTTTGGCATTTCTGAGGCTGTCATGTGATTCAGTTCCATAGCTTTCCATATGTCCCATTGTTTCAGCACCCACTTTACCTCATGTCCTCAAATACCTACCCCTTCCTAGATGGCATTCAATTTGCTTTAGATTTTAGGTGACTCATTCCCACTCACTTCGCCTATCAGAAGTCATTGGCAGGCATACATGCTCTGAAATTCTAGTTTTGTAGATTCTGCTAATCACTGTGTCTCCATTGTAGACTTATTTTCTAGTGGCTGCACCACATATTTTGAACTTGAAATTTTTTTAGGGGGGATAGCTGAATAAGAAGCAGGAGGAAGAAGCAAGCAGAGTATGAACTCGTGTCCTCCCAGAATTGTGCCCTCGAGCTTTCTTTGTAACATGGGATGCTCCTTCCGAATCAGGGGAGACCTTAGCAGAAGGGATGATGGGGGAGCCCCTCTGGATCGTGTCACTGTTCTGACACCGTGGGCAGTTCTGTGGAGGAGTCCTTGGGTTCTGTGCACCAGTTCCTGCTTAGGCATGAATGTCTGCTCTCATTCTGTCATTCTTGGCATTCTTCACTCAGCAAATATTTATTGAACACCTGGGTGCCAGGCACTGCTGGGTGCTGGGCATACCACTGAGTCAGACAAGGTCCCTGCTCTCATGGAGTTTTATTTCTGGTGGAGAACACAGATGATAAGTAAACAAATAATGTAGTTTGAGGTAGTGGTTAAGTACTATGAAGAAAATAAACTGGGGTGGTGACGTAGAGGGGGTGGGGGTGGGTGGCATTAGCTAGGGTCAGGGAGGGCCCTGCCAGGGGCTGCTGGGCTGGCCATGCAGTGCCTGGTGCCAGCTGCCCTGCAGGTGCTGCTTGCCGGGGGGACAGGAGGATGGCTAGGCGTCAGGTATGGGGCTGAGTAACCATGCGGTAGCCTGACTGCTGTGGGCCTGTTTGGGGTTTTCTGTTTTGTTTTTACTAGATTGGTATTAAAAACTCTATGGGGAAACTCAAGGAATGTTTAGAAGACCAAAAGTCCCCAATGACGTGAACAAAAGCAACCAGTTTTCCCCTTCGTTTTGCTTCTCATTCCTGTTTTATTGATTTCCCACTTGCAGCCCTCACGCTCAGGAAGTCTTGGGGAAACTAAGGATCTGTGAAGCTCTGAAATGGGTGGTCAGGTTGGTAGTGTCTGTCCGCTGTCTCAGGCGGGTAACGAATTTCTCAAAATAATTACCAAAATACGGAAACTACACTTTGATTTTTCTCTCCATGTTTGACTCAGTTCCTTCTGTTTGACTGGAAGGGGTTTTGGCATAACTGAAACCTCAGTGCAGAAGAGGGTTTTAAGGAGCACACAGTGTGGTGGGTGGCCATGGAACTTGGGAGGGGTCAGTTTTTCCATACCAAGGTGAGCCCCGTGTATGCCAGCAAGCCTGGTCAGTCGCCTCACGCACTCCACCTCTCCAGGGAGAGGGCAGCGTAGTCACTCGCTGGAGCCCCTTCCAAGCCCACAGGCCACGATGCGATTTACTGTAGTGTCTCGTCACTCTTCATGTCACAGTAGCGTGGAGCAGTAGAGAAAAGCCTAGACTCTTAGTTGCTAGAGAGCCAGTTGAATTATCATTGATAGAATCTTAGTTTTAGGAAAAATTGGTTTGATTTCTAGCTTTATTACTGTTAGGTGTGTGAGCTTGGGCGAATCACTTAATCTTTGAGTCTAGTTTTCTCACCAAATGAGAATATTAGGCTAAATGATTTCCAAGTTTCCAGCTAGTCCTAGAGTTCTATATTTCTACATAGTTGAATTATTTTATCATGCTGTTGCTGGGGAATATGACTAACACTTTTGAAGCTACTAATTTTATGTCGAGCTTTAAAGTCCATAATTGTTATCTTCAGAAAATATTATTTGACCTACAGTATGTCCAAATCAATTTAATAAAATCACTTTATAACAGGGCTCTATCCTGTGGTATGAACTTGGTGATCATAGTGTGTTGGGGGAGGCTCCACATGTACATATTGCGTTAGGTTTTTGCAGGCTTTAATGATACGGAAGCAGTCATCAAACGCATGTTCCCTGTGTGACCCATTTCCGTCACTGCTGTTGTGGTGCCTGTGGACATCCCTTCACTCAGCTCACCTGTCCTGACTAACCTCGCCTGGGGCCGAGTAAGCGCAGTGCTGAGGTGCAGCAGCCCCAGGCTGGGCAGAGGGCCCTGTGGTGGACTGGCCTGGGGTGTCAGTGAGAGTGAGGTCCATTGCAGCATCACAGTGACCTCTGTCTAGGTTGGGAGGAGCACTGCCCGGCAGAGCTCCTGTGCATCCTGAGGGGCGGGAATGTGGGCTGGAAGTTGGGAGTTTCTGTGTGCAGCGGCAGCCGGACACAACTTCCTAAGGCATCTGCTGGCTCTTGTTGCTCAGAAGGATTTAAAACCAAACCATGTATCTCTAGCAAGGTTACTATGTAACGTGTCCTCAAGAATATGAAAAGGGGTAAGTGGAAAGCCAGTGTCAGAAGCAATACTCAGTAACATCAGGGTAGGGAAGAGATGTGAAACGCTGGTGCCACCACAGGGCAAGAGAGGGTGGGGATAGGAATGTGCTGGTGACCCAGCACCTGCTCTGACCTAGCCCAGTGTCTGTCTTTGACTTTGAAATGCCCACACCCAGAATAGCAGAAGAAGGAAAACATAGCTGTAGTGTTAGAGCCACAGCTATCCTGAGGAGGCTGGGCATGGTGTTCCAGGGTCCCTTGCTGCACTGAGCACTGCCAGGGCCTGCACAGGGTGGCAGGGTCACCACGTAGCAGCAGAAGGCACCTGCCTCGCAGACAGAGCTGGGAAGTTTGTAGGACAGTGGAGTCATGAGCTTTCCTATGTGAACTTGGTGGTGTCTATGAAAACCAGTGGAAGGACTGATCTGCCTGTGGTGAGGAGAGGAGACCCTGGGTGGAGGAGCCACAGAGAGCGACCCGGGGCCTGCGAGCTCCTCAGGCTTCCAGCCCAGTCACCGTGACCCAAGGGGCAGGCCGGCCTCCGTGTGTTTCACTTCTGTAAGGTACAACAAGTGGGGAGCATGAGTAAATTGAAGTAAGGGAGATGAATCAAGTGTTTGTTGGTCTTCCTCGTATTTGAGAAGAGACGCACAGGCAGCTCAGAGATCCCAGGTCCTGGTGTGTGCACGCCCTGGTAAGAACTCACAGATCCCAGTGGAGGCGATTCCTACCACAGCTCTTGGTGAGATCTGGTGTCTGCAGATTGAGTAGACCTCTAAAGAACAGCTTATGGAGATTGTCCTTACTCTGAGTGAATTTGTACACGTCATAGGCTTGCACGTGTGCCTTGCCCTTTAATTCTGGCATCATACTTCTGAAACTGAATTCACTCAGCCTTGGGTTCCCACCTCAGTTCATGGCCAGCTCTGTCCCATCTTTGCACCAGGAATTTCAGAGGGTGTCCCAGCTCCTGAAGTCAAAGCCTAGGCTCCGCTGATGGCTTGCAGGGAACTCAAGGCCTCGTGCTATGTGCAGTTTTGTTTCCTGGGGAAGGAACAGCTGATGCCCCCCTGTGTTCTGCACCATGCTGGCTGGGCACCTTTGCTTTTGCTACCAGGTAGTCACTGAGCAGCAGGACCTGAGTAGAGGGGCCTGGGACAAACAGGACACCATGCTTACGACTGTAGTTCGGAGCTTAAATGGCCCTCAGAGGCCTGGTCACTGATGGGAGGAAATGGAACCTGAATAGGTGGGCCTAGTGTGTGTGCACATTTGTGGCCCCCCTGGCTGTACAGTAAGTGGTCCTACAGTGCAGCAGGAGACCAGAGACCAGGCACTGGGGTTCCGAGTGGCCTCACTGGATGTGGGAGGAGTTGGCGTCGCGAGCAGAAAATGAGATCGCACCTGAGTCCGTCTCTGGGTCACTTCTGACTGGGAAGTTGGGGTGGATCTCCAGTGTGCTGTGGGGTGTTTGCAGGCTCTCAGTGAACCTGTTCCTGAACCTCGGAGGTATCTCCTGGGTGTAGTTTCTGGCTCCCATGCTGGAGCACAGAAGAGCTGTCAGGCCTCGATCCAGCTGCCTTGAGCCTCCGTCCTGTCCATCCCTGAACTGTCCTGTCTGCTTCCTGAGGTGCACTCGGCATCCACAGGGACTCGGTGCTGTTTAAGAGCTGAAGCAGGAAGATAAACCGTGCACTGTGGCTGGTCCACCAGCAAGCAGGCTTCAGCCACACGATGTTGCTGCTGAACGTGGTGTGTCAGGGACTGTGGGTCCTGTGACAGCCCACTTGGCTCCGTGAACATCAAGAAAAGGAGAAAAGGCATAAAGTAAGGCATTGGGCATCGAGTTAAATGCCTCGTCACTCGTAGCAAGCACAGATGAGTCAAATTCTGCTGTTCAAAGACATTTTCGAGTTGGATCATAAACTTCACTGCAAATGTGTGTAAATGCTGAAGCAGGCCACATGAACAACTGAGATGGAGGGGGCAGGCAGGCACCAGAAGATGCAGAAGAAAGCCCTGGGGGAGTACGGTCCAGCCCAGGGGGCACAGGAGGACAGCAGCAGAGAGCGCCTTGTCCCGAGGCTGGGGCGCGCAGGCATCGTCCTGTGACGGGCCCCATGGCTGCTAGATGGCGCTCTTTAGAGTGCAGCAGAGCTGAGCGCTCCATCGCAGCAGCGCCTGGCAAGCCTGGACTCAGCAGCTGCAGGGCAGCCAGACAAGGATGCGGCCGAGTGGCAAGTCGTGAGTGTGCGACTCCTCTAGGGACAGTCACAAGCATCAGGAAAACTAAAAAGTGTAGGACTTTTCGTGTCATTGAATGACATGTATTTGTGAGCATCCTAGGTGCCTGATCCTGTCAAGATTCCCCTGTGCAGAATCATTGAAAAAATAAAGGGTCATAGATGTCCCCCACCCACGTGATGAACTGCTGTATACAGATAGCTTCAGCGTGCAGTGTAGCGCCCGGGCCCCAGAACAAGATGGACTTTTCTCCCTGCTGGGATGCGGCTCCCTGAAGCGCGTGCTGGTTATGGGGGCAGCGCCTCCCCTTGGACTTGGTCATTGATTGATGAAGGGACCCTGCTGAGCCGTCAGTGTCTTGGACTTGACCAAATGGAGCAGTGGTGACCACCTCTGTCCCCTCTGCCCTCCACCCCCAGGGAAACTCACGAATCTCTCCCGAGCCTGGAGCGTCTAACTCGAGGACTCCACAGAGCCTGTGTCTGGTAGGTCGCTGTCCTGTGTGGCCTTTGAGAAGGTTGGGCCTGCAGCCCTGAGCCACCTGCACCTCCTGTGGGCCACGCTACGGTCCCCACCCTGCACAGCCCACCCCTCCTCCGGACTCTGGTATCTCATACCCACCGCACCACAGTCCTGTCTGTCCCTCTGTCAGTCTGTGTCTGTTTCCCATTGCCAGCTCTCTGTCTCCGCACAAAGCCAGGGGAGGCTGCCGCAGGACTCAGGAAACTCCACACACACAGCCACTCCCCTGGGCCTCGCTGTGTGACTTTGGGCAAGTTTCTTCACCTCTCTGAGCCTCAGTTTCCTCAGTTGTGGAACAACAGGATGGTGGCAGTTCCTGTCTCCCTGGAGGGCCATGAAGCTGAATGCAGCTAAAGCGTGGAAAGCTCTTGGCAGGCACTTAGCCTGGAGTGAGGGCTCAATGGGCCTCAGTGTCCTGTCCCTTGCCCTCAGAGAGCCCCAGTGGCACCCGGGGGTGTTTGGATCTTGCAGAAAAGCTGGCACTGCCCATCAGAGCTGAGTACCTGGCAAAGTTGCCAGCAGCTGGGCCCCAGCCTGGTGTACATAGCTGTATCGGAAAGTGAGGTGGTGCTGGGGTTGGTGTAGGCACCCAGCATCAGGAGCCTAGAACGCTGCCTGGGAGGGAGCCCCTTCCTCTAGACTCAACTGAGTGCCCGCCCCTGGTGACTCCAAGGCAGCTGGGTGGATTCTGCCGGGTGCCAGGCCCTGCCAAAGCAGGGTGGGAGAACTGCCCCTCCCTGCTGTACAAGTCAGGGCTCCGGTCCAGGTGGGGCTCTGGTCTCCGTGCTGTTGGTCCCTGACAGAGATGAACAGAGGGGTCTGACACCAGGGATGGCCCCTGCTGATGGTGCCCTAGAGGACTCCCAGCTAGTACCTCAGAGCTGGCATGCATTAAGGGACGTCAGTGTCCCCTCGACACGCCTGCCAGCTGCCTGCCCGATGCCGAGCCTTGGCCTGGCTGGAAGTCGGTCTGGGCGCTGGTGGAATTG